TAATCCTTTGATATTACTACACAGAATAGATGCATCAGTTGTAATTGTCTAAAATTGTGATGGTTTCACCTCATTTTTATTAATTCTTAGCTTGTTTGGATGACTAGAAGTATTAAAAGTAAAAAGTGGATCAAATAAGTGATTTTAAAAATTATGAAGTAGGATGTAGGGGATGTAATACTTTTGTTTTTTTATTCATTTCATATATTTTCAAATGTAGTAGAAATAATACCTCTTACTTTTTTATTTACTTTTTTTTGGATAGTAATTGGAAATATCATTAGGAAAGGGGATAGAGGACCTTTGGAGATTTTATTTAGAATGAGGAATAACTACATGATAAAAAAAAGATTTTATTTCTAAAATAATGCATATTCAATTACTTCTGAGATATATCTAAGCCTTGAGGGATGGAAAATGTTTCGAAAGAATGATACCACATAAGCAACATGTCATCATTTTATGAATTAATAGGAGTGACTTTTTTAGAGAAACAAACAACTTTTTTGCTTGAAATTAGCACAAGTCGTCTATATCCTTTACTCTACTGCATGTCTACTTCCATGCAAACAAACAAACACTTATATGAGATGGAGGGGTATCATAGCCTATCAAACAAGAATTTTTTTGGTTAAAAGTTGTCCCCAATTAAATCTTGAATTGTTGTGGCATACATTGTGTTATTTGCATTTTTCATCCTAGAAACTTGGATTTGCATGTATCATTGATAAACCAAATGAAAAAACTGTAAATCTTACTGATTTTCAATCGGTTTGGGATATCACCTAGCATCCTCAATAAAATACATGCGCCATCAATCAAAAGTTTAGTTGAATATTATTTTTCCATACAAATCCCTTCCAATATCTATTACAAGCAAACAAGATTTTAATTATGAATTTTTCAAAATTCCTTACATGTAGACAAATGCGTAGAGACGGGTTTTGTTTGGTTCAATTTCTAGAAATTATAGGAAATGTTTTCCACCCAAAATATGATTTCCTTGTATTTCTTTAAAAAATTATAGGAAAAGTTTTAAGAAGTTAAAAAAGTACTAATTTTCTTTTTTTTTTTTTACTTTGCTTGTTTGGTTCAAAACAAGAAAATAGCTCATAACTTTATAGAAAATGGGTATGGGACGGGTTTTGTTGATTAAATAAGGAAGGTGTCAGATTTCTGTTGATTTCCTCTCATTTTGAGAGGAAATTGTTTTTTGTAAAATTTGGTAGTTTTTGATATTTTATAGGAAATTGTTTTTTGTAAAATTTGGTAGTTTTTGATATTTTATAGAAAATATTTCTATAAATTTTTTGTTAAACCAAACACAATTTACAGAAATCTATAGAAAACTTTTAATTACAAAATTATCATTGTGAGATATTTTAAGAAAAGTTTTCTTAAAAAGTGTGCAACCAAACAGCCCCTAAGGGACAGTTTGTTTCCTACCAGATTTGAATACACAAGGATTTGTTGGCCCCACCCTATCTTTTGTCAGAAAACTTAATCCCATACATTTTTTGTGCTTGGTTACAACTAATCGCCTGTTCGGATAATTGCGAAATTTAAGGCAAACATATGACAGCTAAGCCAAATTCTGGTGTCCAAAATCAAAGCAAAATGGGAGGATTTGGTCGAGATCTTACAACTAGAGGTCCCACCGTACAATTGTAAATATAAAAAAATCATTAAAAATCAGAGAAATATCTGAAAAAATTAGGAAGCTTAGAAAACTTTCCAAAATATTTATAATAAATTTATAAAGTTCAAATAATATTATCACTAAATATTATCATATCATGTTTTAAGTATAAAATTAATTATTAGCCAGACCATAAACCACTTTTTTAAGTCTATCATTTACTTTTCAAACAAACAAGAAGATATGAATTTAATTTTAAAAACTTAGTTTCCATTCCACTATCCTACAAACCAGAGCGTTTGGCTACCAATGTGTTTTTTTTGTTTCCGTTTTTTTTTTTGTCAAAAAAACAATGAAACTTGTTTGGAAACATGGACAATTGTGCTCACATGGGATTTTTGTTTTTTTGTCAAAAAGATTGTATTTTGAGGTGAATGTGGTTGTTTTTCACATGGGATTTTTGTTTTTTTGCTTCTTTGTTGGCTCAATTGTGCCATTTTTAGGTTGCAGAGTTCCAATTTGGGGTCAGTTTCATGGGGTCAATTGTGCCATTTTTACAATGATGTTATCAAACACTTTAGGAGAAAAAACACACCACCGATGTGTTTTTTAGAAAAACACTACAACAAAAAACACTTTGGCAAAGATTCTTTAGATTTCTGACATTGTCATAAATCCAAAATACACATGCAACATGGACAAAATTTTAAAACCAACCCATTTGGGTTTTTAATTGCAAAAAACGATCCATTTTAATTTTAATTATAAAAACCGACCCAGTTGGTTAAAACTGGGTCGGTTTTTGAAATTTTTTTTCCCAAACTTCACGGGAGAAGTTTTGTTATGAGAAAAAACTTCACGGAAGTTCAACTCCCGTGAAGTTTCCCGAAAAAATTTAAAAAAACCGATCTATTTGAAAACAGGTCTGTTTTTGTAAATATTTTCAAATCCGGTCGTTTTTTGCAATTAAAAACCCAAATGGATCGGTTTTGAAAATTTGTCCAATGCAACATTCAAGCAGGCCCCAAGTTTACAAAGAAAACAAATCCGAAGACTCAAAAGTACCCTGAGCAGCAAAACAAAAGTAAATTCAATTAACAAGTAGAAGAGCATAACAATATATCAATGAAAATCATGTGATAATCTTCCCAAGTGCCCCTCGTGATATCAATGAAAATCATGTTAACTTTATGATATTAGTTTGCTATCCTTGATAAACTCCATGCCAAACAAGAATCTAACTGGATAATTTTCTTGCTGCAAATTTTTTTTTTAATATCTATTGCAAGCAAACAATATTTTGAGTATGGACTCCTCACAAATCCCATTCATATAGCAAAATTCTTGAAGACTAAATTCACAAACCAAACTCCAAAGACATATAGGAGTATCATGAATAACAAAACTGAAATAAATTTAACTAACAAACACAAGTTCAGGATGATAACCTCCACGAGAGCCCCTTGTGCACTATTTCTCATAGAACAGCAAGAACACATGCAGATTGAAATACGAAAAAATGAAACTTAATAAATCAAAACGAACTCTCAACCTAGGGGCATATACATATATAACTGATAATTATCAACATGACGAGTATATATTTACTTTGATGTTGACCACAAATGTCATCTGTAACTCTTCAAAAGATGGGAGGATTGGCTGGTTGAGGAACTTACTGATACCCCTATACCGCATAGTTTACTGTTGTCAGTTCTTTTGGCCGGTGTGGCACACCCACTAAAATCAAGAACACGTCCTTCCACCTGCAAAAGCTTCACATATTAATAAAAAGAAAAAACATAGTACGTAGACAACATTTTGACATATAAACCATGTGAAGTGCACGAGCTAATCTATGTTTTGATCTAAAGTTCACGAGTTAGGTTAAAGCAATTAGTTAATTCAAATTATGTTAACATCGGAGTGGCAGATATTGAAAGATGTCTCCATTTTGACAAGCATTCCCAGAGGGGTAAAGTTTCTTTAGGAAGATACAGTTTTTTCTGCATTCATATTTCCTTTCCTTGGCTTTTATTAAATTAGTCCTTCAAATTACGCATAATGCTTTCATACTAGTCCCTCAAATATGTTATTTTTACATTTGACCTTAGAGCCATTAAAGTAGCACAAAATGTGCCTATTGACGGACTCGGTATTCCAAAACAAAGAGGTCTTCAGGATTATCTCTGCTTTCCACAAGGAGATGTAAATTATTTGATGACAAAATTGTTCACAAGTCGTGTAAAGTTTGTGTGCTTGCAAGTGCATTTTGATGATAAAAGGTTGCTTACCATCTCTCCATGTCATCAATAATTTAACGCCTATAAACAAAGACTTTTACTTATTTACTGCAAGAAACTCTCTAAAGAAAAAGGTTGGAAAGAGATGGAGGCTAAACGTAGCAAGTGCTTTGAATGGCATGTAGCAAGGAGATTATAAAGATGAGAATTGGGAGATAAAATGAAGAGTGAGAATAAATACCATGCTATTTGGTGGCTGGGGAACAATATCATCCATCGTTCTTTTACCAGATTGAAGTCTTTTTAACAATTTCTCACTGCCAGCACATCTTTTTTCAAAATCTGGATCAGGCTTCCCACTGGCCAGTATCTCACGAGCCTCAGCCACTGCTGCAGCACTTTGCTCATTTAATTGCCTCATTAGCCCAATTGCATCATAACTTCTATCACTGGGGCTCAAGTAATAGTCCTGGAGAATTGAAGAACATGGATTAATATTGCCTAACACCAAGAAAATAAAAGAGGTATTTGTGGAAAAATGTTCAAATTTTCCCAACAGATAAATACTTATAGCTGTCAATTTTATTAATACAACTTCACAGTGGCTTTTCATGCATTTCAGAAACATAATATTATATCAAGTTCAACAAAGGAATCATTATTTTTACTAGTTACTATGACAGTAGCCAACTAAAGCTGACTGTCACCAGTTAATGACTGAAGCGTAACTTTCCATGCACCTTCTACACACATTTAAATGCATATATAGGTAGAAGAACAAGTAATTTCATTGATGAACCCCTAAATGAGAAATCCTCACAAAAAACAAAGCCAACACGCATCAAAGAACAGATGAGCCAAAGCAAGAGAAACAAAGGAAAAGCATGAATTCAGAGGCGGATCTACGTCGAGGAAAGTGATGTCATGTGACACCTCTTGAGGTCTGTTGTTGTGCGATTGGAATAATTCAATAAGATGTGAACGGTTAAACTTGTTATTGGATATGAATGGTTAAAGTTGTTAGATGGATAAAATGTTGTTGCGGTTAGATGGCAGGTTATTAGATTATTAAAGTGGTTAATGGCTAAAGTGAGAGTAGTTGTCTAGTATCACTGAGATCATGGAATATTAGTTGTAAACCAGTGTAAAACATTTATCTATAAATATACAGCCTTTTCTCTTCTTTTAAATTATTAAGCAGTGAGATAGATTCTCAATTGTAATTCTTGTAGGATGAATGGTAGTGTTACCAATATTGCAGTTGATATACTTCTTCCAAGATATGAAAACTCTTCAAGGACAGTTAAGAAATTTTTAATTATTAATTTGTGGCGACACCACTTTCAAGAAATCCTGGATCTGCCTCTGCATGCATTGCAGACTGGAGTACAGATATATAAAAAATGGATGGATTACTCATACCCCTCAGATTTGATTCATTTCTCAAGGTTTTATCTCATTTTGCACGCCTTTAATATGTGAATGACTAACCACACGCAGCAAATGACTAACACATTATGTTTTCATATGCATAAGCAAGTCAAAATTCTAACATCCAGATTTCCTTTCTAGTTCTTTAACCAAGATCATTCAACCTAAAAGGCATTGTTTACATGGCCCAGCAACACCAGATGCTTGTTACAAAACCTTGAGGAGAAAACCAACATAGGATTTGATTTTGAGCGTCCAAATGCATAAAATGATGTTGTATAGAGTATAGATGACCTACCACCCGCATGTGGGTGGGTGGCAAGGCACGAGCCTTCATGACCCAAAGGCCCAGGTTCGAGCCTTGCCTCCCACACCTCGTAAGTGTACTACTAACCTTGGTGGCTGGGCAGGGTGGGGGGACCTAGTTTACCCGGGGTTATTGGTAAGGGTGGGGGACTCAAACTCATGTCTCGGCTTGGGGATCCTCCTGCCTTACCAAGTTTCCCTCGTATCCCAAAAAAAAGGAGTATAGATGACTTCCAGGTCCTGATTTTTAAAGCAAGAGTACTAAAAAGAAATAACAAAGTAGGCTAAGTAACTGATAGCATGCACCGGAAATTACTACCTCATAAACTATGTCTGCCTCAATTCCATGTCCTGGTAGAAGAGAGCTCATGAACCAAGGTGACTTCCATGCTGAAGGTGATTCTATACCTCTTTTGACACTGGGCGTATCAGCAAAGCTGAAAGGATTAAAGAAATGTAATTAAGAAATGAAGAGAAATGTATTAGGCATACAAATAAATTCATAGATTAAATACGCACATAGATAACTGAGATTGCACTAATGTACTCTCATTTGACATATGATGCATAACTCGATTAAAAGAACTATAGAAATAAGCATGCAAGGTAAAATACATATATCCTTTAATAACATCTTTAGCTACCAATATGGTCAAGCGATTAGATGATGCAAACTACAAAACAAAAAGAGGATGGAGTAAATACTATATAATATCGAGGCATCTCAAAAAGTTAAATGCAGGAAAGGATAATTTACTGTGCCATATGCTGAACTAAAATTAAGCACCCTGAGGGTCCATAACATGTACCAATTTTAAAAGATAAATATCAGAATATAGAAAAAACATAATGTTAAAACGAGTAAAAACGTTATCAGTCATATAACACCCATCATATTCTATCTTCTGTGGATAATAGTTAGTATATTATGAATTAAGATAGCAAATGTATATATCTTTTCAAAAAATATATGTGAGAAAACATGATAATGCAAATGTAACAAATTTTAGAAGGTGTTATGTGCATAATTGATGGACATATGCTAAAAGGATCATTAGTTGGGATTGGTGGCATCTTTGGAAAAAACGGAAGGGACATTAGCCCTATGGCTATTAGGAGATGGAAACAGATACTTAACCCCCCTTACTCCCCCATCCATTCCCTGTTCCTTTAAATACAATAAAGCCTCACCCTTATGTATATACGTTTTCCGTACCCAATTAGAAATATATGATGTACTAGTGTTAAAATGATCAAAATAAGCAGTAGATGATAACTTGCAGAATCAAAACTTACATGTTCAAGTTCTCACATTCCATGCCACTCGATGAGAACTTCTCAGCTGAAACATGGGATGAATGAGAGGATGTGGCACAGTGTGTTGATGCTATGGGAATTGAATGGCAGGCCTTCTTACATTCACGAATATTGGGAGACCAAAGCATGTCAGACAAAGACTCAGAATGAGCATTTTTATAATCCTTCTTTGACATACTCAACAGTCTGGGACTTAAATTTTCTGAAGAAACATCATCAGCTCCTAGTCTTCGACATTTATATTGATTTGGAGAAAATTGTAGCAGGTCATTGGTATTATGTTCTGTAAGTATCCCAGTAGCCTGTTGAATGAATGATGATGACTCTATTAGTAGTTGAAGAAAAATACTCAAACATTCAAAATTTTCATAGAGAATATGTAATTAAGAATCCCTACTCTTGCAATGATAAAATTCCACTTAAGGTTGCTTTTAAATTTTCATTCAGTAAAGTAACATTCAAATGATAAATAACTCAAAGAATTCAACATTGAAATGATTTGAAGTTAATATCATCAAATATTGGAGGTTAGAGCATGCATGTAATGAAAAGTGGTAGCAAGTCATTGGACCGTGGACATAACCTACGCAATAAAGAAGAAAAGAGTCAAACATAAAACAAATTGACGAAGCATATGTTTGACCTAAGAAGGGATATAATTAATGATACTTGGCAAATGAAATTATAGAGATAGATAAATATTTCTTACATGGAAAATTTTGAAACCTAGGGTATAGTCCAGCAAAGAAATGGTTGGGGTATATATAAGTATTACATTTGACCTACAAGTCAAACTAATTAAATGCAAACATTGATTGATAATAAAAAAATATGAGTTACAGAAATTAATAGAAACTACGGATATAAAATGGATGCATGTCGAAGTGGTAGTATGCCAAGACCTGTTCAGGGTGTGCCATGCCTAAGGACTCTGTGTCATAGCAGAGAGGGAAAGGGGAAACCTAACAAATTGAATATGGACTTGAATCCCAGGAACAGGACAAATACAAATGGAAACTAACAAAAATGCCGCAACTGCAAAATGAAGAAACAGCATGAACAGTACAAAATTACTTATTTCTCCACAAGCACCAAGCTCAACGCATATGACGAAATAATCATATTCCTTGAAAAAAACTAATCATAGGTCTAATTGGATCCACAGTTGGTATTTAGGCTTAGAGCATATTAATATTAAAAGTATAAAAAGGTATATCAGAAAACAGCTTGCTGCTCCAAGAATATCTGCAGCAATTCCCATTTGTACCTTGTTTCTAGTTGTAGACACTTCCATCTTTTCTTGAAGGTTACTAGCATCAGTTCCTTCACCTGGAGACCCGGGTTCTTGCATAGATGGATCCATATTCTCTACTAGCTGTGTAGAGGCTCCTGAATCCTTCTCCTGATTATAAGAAGTGGATGCCAAAAATTTCTCAGCGGAGCACGAAGGAATCTCATTTGCTATATTTTCATCCATAGCATCAATGCAAGAAATATCCTTGCTTGTAGAGCATTTGGACATAAACCCATGTTTCATGTATCTTCCAGATTTTTTGTCTGTTCTTTCTTCCTGCAAAGGTGACAATAGATCACGCTGGCGTTTCTTCATGATGGATGGCGTACACAAGAAGTTTTTAGCAGCATTCTTCAGAAAAGCATCAGGACTGTCATCATGAGAGGGTGAATCCCATAAACTATATGTTGTTGAAGACATCATGATTTGCCGAATTCCAAGAGGACTAAATTCTTGCTGTTCACTAGACGGAATAAGGTCGCAACTGACAAATGGATCAAATGTTGGAATACGAGGAGGCTCATAAAATAGACCACCAGACTCCGGACAGTTAGTTTGCTCATTTCCATTTTCACCAGAGAGGGAAAGGTTTCCAATCGCATCTACTGGTCCAAACCCTATCATTTCCATAAAGGTTTTCTTTGAAGTTTCCTTTTCTTGATTGAAATCTGCAGGCAGACAAATCATAGACCTATCACCCACAACAGAAGGTATCTGAGAAGAACTAGAATGTTCAAAACCATCATGTAAGCATTTGGTAACATCTGAATCTGAAATGACAAGAGAAGCTTCAGTGATACCGACTTTATCACTTCTATCAAGAAGCTTTCCATTATTTTTACACATAAAAGATGGAGAAACTTCACCCGTAAGACTCTGAGTGTATGGAATTTCTGCAGCACTTGATTGAATGACCGGAGACAATGTTTGTGAAGTTGACGCAGGATTCATACAAGTTCCAGAAATGTAATCTTCAGATTGGCAATTTGGAATTCCCTGGAAAGAATTCAGATTTGCAACACTGGAGGAGGAGAATGGAGCACCGAAAGGAAAATTTGAGCTCATCTCCCCCACAAAAACCATGCTGGTAGAGAAGTCTGTTTCAGACATCAAAAGGTTTTTCTGCTTGGAAGCCAGCACTGAGGATGTATACGTAGAGTTCTGCCTAATATCATTTTGAAACAACTTAGGTTTGCGTCCATGATTTCCATTAGCATGATTGGGATTGTGTTCTGATGTTTCCTTTGACCCTTGTGCTTTCTGACTGATTTCTGTAAATGAATAACTCATCATGCCATCAGAAACAGATGGGTAACTAATACTTTCAGATGCCCCATCCTCACATAATGAATTTTGTTCAGAGGCACTTAAAGAAATTAAACCTCTAGAATGTTGCACTTCAGAGACATATGCAACATCTCTCACAGATGCATAACATTCACGGGCACAATGTCCCTCAGCATCTACTGCCCTCCTTTTAGCAGAATCCTCCTCTGGTTTAAATTTCTCTTGCTTTGGAATCAAATTAGCTGCCAATTCACAGTCCGACTGGGAAGAAAGTGCCAGAGCTGAGTTCTGGCTACATTCTGAAGAAACATCAAATTCTGGTTTGTCCCTAAAGCCACTCTCTTCATTCTGATGTAGACTAGTTGCTGATAAAGAAGTAACATGATTAGGAACATTGACAGAATGGACGCCTTGGAATTGTGCAAGTAAGCCTGATGCCCTATATGAGTCCAACTTTTTCTTTACTGAGCTGTTCCAATGATTTTTAATAGCATTGTCTGTCCTGATACATGAGGCAGGATGTTATTTCATGATAGTGCCTCATAAAGGAAAAATCAAAAGAATGCAGAAACTTAAATCATACTGCATACTTGATTAAAACAAAACTATGTTGATAACTTGATACCAAGTAAAAAATTCTATGTAGTCATCTACTGATTTTGACCACAAAAGGATAACATAAGAAAGTGACTTTTGAATTGTATAATTGAAAGTTAGTAAACTGTTATTGAAACTGATAAAGTTTTGGCAACTGGGAATGCTGTATGAGTTCTTCTGAAGACAGAAAAGAAATTATGATACATCATAAACAAGCCAAGATGCATCGCAGGGCAAAGAAGAATATTGGAGGCATAGGTGGCATCATAACTCATACTTTTGAGCACTGGAGAAATAAACTGTAGTTATTACCTAATTGCAACTTCCTCTGAAGACAAAGAAAAGGACATTATGATACACCAAGAATAGGCCAATATGCATCTGCAAAGGCGAAAAAAAACATCTGGTGCATATTGGCCAACAAGTTAATTTGTAGAAGAAAACTTTGGGCACTGGTAAAATATGATGTAATTGTTATATGTGAACAATGAAAGTATATTAAGCATGTCTAGGAAGCAAAAAATTCCTAAAAATTGTGACCAGGAGATCATGCCATCTCAAATGGAAATGGCACTCTGGTTCTCACCTTCCAGGTAAGAACTTTGTCAACTCAGCCCACTTGTTTCCATAAACTTGGTGAGCATGAATAAGTGCTATCTCCTCCTCTTGAGTCCATGCCTCCTTGTTTATGGCTGGATTAAGATGATTATGCCACCTAAAACACAGAGTCCACCAGATTAATATAAAGTATGATCTTCAAGCATTATTGAAAAATAAGGAACTAGAGTATTATCAAACATAAAGATGAAAACAACAGCTGCAAAAACTCTAACTTGTTTCTCAACAGACTAATAATCAGTGTTTTAAAAGCGAAACACGAGGTCAAGGCAATGCGATCCCATGTTGCCTGAGGCGAGAGGCACCAGAAAAGGTGATCGCCTGAGTGAACCATGGTGATAAATGTTCAAAAAATTTTGTAAATGTTACAAATAATATGCAAATAAACAATATCAATAAATTACCATAGGACATATTAATCACAGTAGAATTTGTATGCCACAAATTATGATATCTAACCACTATAAAATAAAGCAGGGTCATTTCTCTGCCTCATCTTCATTTATTTTACTTCTCTCTCTTTGCACAGCACAAGATAGAAAATCATCACCATTGAGAGATAAGAGGCAGTCACTTTACAACCACCTAATAAAACCCTGATATCTTTCACAAATCTTTAAGAATATCCTGTGGTAATCGGGAATTCAAAAGCGCAACACGTCAAGCATACCAATATTTGGATCTTGCGAGTTCTTTCTTAGCTATTCCTTATATATTCCCCCTTCCCACACATTTTCCTCTTTCTATTTTGTCATATACAAAATCAAACAAAAGACCTACACCTGAACTGTTAAATCACTTGAAACCACCAAAATATCGGAAACATCAAAAGGGCGCTTAAGTGGAATAACGCCAAGATCTTTATTACTCTTTTAGACTAGTCCCGGAGAAAATGAATGGTATATAGATCTGGTTGATGGCTAAGATATCAAATGTGATGGAGGACACAAATTTCCGCACTGTATGAAAAGGCTATTAGTTTGTTTTTTTACTTCACATTTTTTTTAATTTATCTTGTATTTGGTAATTGGTGCTTAGCAAGATTCGTCAGCATATTTAAGGATGTTAAAAAAACTGGCAATGAGGAATCTGAAGGATTAATATGATGCAATTCAAAGCTATATTTGAAGTCAAGGATGTAAATCCCTAAACAACCTATATATGGAAGGTCTACTATCCCACGTGCAATAGCTGTTAAGGCCACTTCTATGCATATTTAAAATGTCATTACAATATTCATAATATTACCAGGAGCCTTCGATGATCGAGGTAAATAGCCATCGTGGGAACTAGGAAGCCATATCTTTATACAATTTCAATTACCATATAGGTTTGCTGTGATCCATTAATTCTCAGGTAACATGAATATATCAATTATCAAACATTAAGTAATAATGCAGGTATTAGCTGACTTCTGAATTTGACGCCTACTTAAGATATAAAATTAAGGTTAAAACAGTAAACAAGCTCTTGTTTTGTGGGCAAAAGTACGGAGTCACACAAAGCCTGCAGAGTACTTAAGGGAATACCTCTCTCGACATTGTTTTCCAATACGTCCTGGCAATGCTTGCGCAATTGCTGACCATTTCTTTGGTCCATGTTTATTTACCATTTCCACTATAATATCATCTTCCTGTTTGAGTTACAAAATACATGAGCTTCTGTTATTATTAACCCATGGCGTGCTTTCAAAAATTACACCAAGAACAAAAAAGAATGAATTGAATGAGTTACATTATGCAACTCACATCGAAAATGATACCTCTTTAGACCATGGTCCCTTAACAAGTTCAGGATTTAGAACTTTCTGCCATCTATGCAAGCATTGAACATCAGTTCGATCTGGGAAACACTCAGCTGGATGGAAGGAAGATGCAGCAAGCATAAAACAGTCAAGACATATATAATATGAAAGACGGTAACTTTAAATACCAAAATTAAAAATAGCATCAACGCTCGATCATTTAGCCAAAAAAATGATTAAAAATGAAATGACAGTCGAGAATAAATAAGAAAATTAGCAAGTGATTCACGATTAAAACGTGATAAGTAAATAGGGTGTTTGGGAGGGCTTATTTTTAGAAGCCTATATAAGCGATGCTAGCTTTTGATGGCTTTCAGCTTTTAAGATAAAAGCTATAAAAGTTATATTTGGAGAATAGTCATTTACTTGGTTAAACCTAGCTTATTTATATGAGCTATAAGCTAGTTTTCAAAAGATGGTGAATCCTAACTTTATTAAATGAGACTAATAAGCTAGCTTAATGGGGATTTACCAAACAATTAGATATGGAAAAGCTAGTTTGACCCCAAAAAAAAAGCTCTCCAAAACACCCTCAAGAAAATATTGAAATGAAATAATCCATGTATAAGCATTTGTTCTGCGCTTTCTCTTAACAAGACGGACAAATCATGACAAGCACTTTTTGCTTGCGCAACACATCATTAGGAGGTACACCAGCGCAATGTTGCATATTTTTTCCCCAGCACAGGATTATACCAAAAAAAACCAGTTGTATATTTTTTTTATAAGTAGATTTTATGCATAACCTATATGTAAAATGTAAACAAGATTATAGCCAATTACCAAACTTGCATAAGAAGGTAATGGAAAGAAGGAAAAAACACAACAATCAAGAATTCCAACAGAAAGCTTCTAGAAAACAGAAGATATACTGCATTGTGAGCATTGTAAAATTTTGGCATTACATCTTAGCTAAGTTGTGTTGATACAGGTACGAGTGCAGGGAGTGTACAGGACAGTAAATTTGTAAAATGTAGGGTATGGGGACACGGCTGAAACACATGGGCTGAAATCATAATTCTGAGCTAGATAAGCAAACGACCCTTTGAAATCATATTTCTTAACTGAATATGAATTGAAATGAACTAAATCCTTGTCCAACAAGTTTCAGAAGTAGATGATAAGTGTAGGATATATGTTCAAGGAGCGTATGATGACTATTTTTTAAAAAAGGGAATTGTAAAATTGAATACAAATCTAAGTAAACGCATGTATATATTTAAGAAGTTGTCGAAGAAGTGTCTGGTATGGGTATGGGTATGGGTATGCATACGGGAAGGGTCAGGTATGGGTAGAGGACGTGTCTGGTACGGGTACGGCTTCATAACAGAAGTACAACACAACATAGCATCTTTGAAAAGTACTAAGCAAATGGAAAACTTAGTTGAAAAATAAAATACTAATTTGGATGGTATAAATGTAATAAATAAGACTACTAGATGTATTGAAGTACCTATCTTTTTCCAGTTCTTCCCTTTAAAACGTTGTACAGCTCTGCACAATATAGCATCCTGCATGTAATTGTAGCACATCATCATCATATATTAATAATTGCAGAAGACTACAAAAACCACACGGTACAAGAAATAGTAGCTGAAGAGCCCTGAGAGAAAACAAACATTGAAGCACATAGCTAAATCAACATATATTCAGTAATTCTACTAACGTAATTACCAAGCAAAAAAATAATTCTGTGTTACAGGTTCTGCAAAATATGACTAAACATGAAAATGAATGCTTAGCTGCAAAATTCCAATCTGATGTTACTGTATGAAGTATCTGCCTACTTGCTCGTTATACATTAACATCAGATACCTAAACATACCCGTGGATCATGATTTTTCCCTTAAGCTATGACTTGAGAATGTTTTTCTTAGGAATAGCTTTGTGTTAGAGAGTTGATCCCCTTGGTATGTGGTAATTGTCAACAAAGAGGGAAAGTTGATTCCCTTGATATGTGGAAAAGTTATCAGTTATCGCCATCATGGTGTACGCCAACCCTACGTAAGAGTCTTCAACAAGCACATAATCCCGCGTCTCAAAAATACTGTGCAAGCAAAATCTATTCTGGTAACTAGCTCAAGCTATTGATGATTTTAATCTCATTGTAACATAAAGAAAAGATTAGGGTCAGGGACGTGATTTTCTCATCCAAAATCTACATCATCCTACAATATTACATCTCACTCTAACAAACCATTCAAAAGAGGACATTAAATAGATTATAATTTATAAGTAACAATAATCTAATGAAACTATCAAACCCATGATATTACTATTAGTCAATTGCATCCAGAAGATGAAAATCTTTAATTTCTGAAATTTCTAGCTAAGATAATTTCATTTGGTTATAGGTGTAGACAAGTAGAAATAACCAAATACATATCTGATCACTTTCCTTTTGACAGGCATGGATATTCATACCTGACCATTTAAAGCATTGGTAGCAGTCAATTATATGAAATACCTGTCAGACAGACTAGAATGTGAACAAATTGCATATAGCTCAAACTATATTAAGTATTGCATTATGCAATATATCAACTAGCTCTAAGTGATAATAGTGCAACGCTCATAAAAGGTGACTAACTTCACCTTCTAAAACTTTTTTTGACATAATTAATAATATTCAACTGGCTGCACAATTTTCCCATGCCACCTATCAGTCACTGGTTGTTGTAGAATGGAGCTTGTTGACACAATTTTCCAGTCACTGGCTGCTAATGTTTAATTTTTTTTAAAGTTGCCTTGACATCCACCTAAACGGATGTGGCACTAAGGTTATGGAAATTAGTGGTTGAGCGTCTTGTTAGAATTATACCTTCACACTTATATATCACAACTCATGCATTGCCCATGTCTATGCATTGCCCATGTCTACCGCACTTGCCTATTCCTCCACTTGCATGATCATAATTATCTACCAACTTGTATGCTCCACTTGTATGCCCAAATTGTATATTTATTAGGCCTTTACCAAAACATAATCAACGAAGTATTTCTCTTCTCACGTCCAATTGACATGGTAATATGGTATCAGAGCAATTCCTCTCTCGCTCTCTCAAATTCTCCCCAAATCAAGAGCTAAGGTTAAAGGTTTTTTATCATCACCAAAGTCAAGGTCTGTGAGTGACAATGGAAAGGCCTACAAAGCAATGAGCGATGACGGCAATTCCTACGACGTAGTGAACAATGAGGGCGAGAGAAACAACGCAGATGAGGGCACAAAGGAGGGTGGGGCTTGATGCGGTCGAACTTGGGCTTGTTATAGGCAGCGATGGTTGTTGCGGGTTTAAGTTTGGTCGTTGGTGGACTGATGGCGATAGTGCATAGAGATCAAAGCCAGTGTCGAGGCCACCGAGGCGAAACACGAGTTTGCGGCAAAACCCCCTCAGCGGCTTAAGATTGAAGAATAAGAAAGATGTCTCTAGACCTGATAACAAGGTTCTGATACTATGTTAATAGGATTTGAGAAGAGAACTGCTTCCTTGATAATGTTAGGGTAAGAGCCCAATATATAAACAATTTGAGCATATAAGTTCAACATACAACTTTTAGCATACAAGTTGGTAGGTAATCATGATGATGAAAGTTGAGTAATGGACAAGTGCAATAGATATGGGCAACGCATGGCGTGATATACAAGTGAAAATGTATGATTCTGACAAGACACTTAGCCACTAATTTGGATAACTTAAGTTCTACCTCCATTTAAGAGGATGCTCGTTTTAGGTGGATGTTAAGGCAACTTAACAATACACGTCATTGTCAATGCATGTTGATCGGCAATCTCAAACCAAGCAACATCACTGACTCAAATTGCTGCCTCTTCCCATCACCAAATGCAATCATCGGATTCGCCCAAGAAAGGGCATCTCTCAGCCTCTCCAATAACCCTCTGGCGATCCGATGATGCTTGCCATCAACCTTATCATCACCTCCAACTGTTATCCTTCACCAATCAATCTCGTAGCCACTAAGAATTTCTCTGTTAGTGTACAAGAATTCATATCCCTCGCCATTCATCTCGTCAATATTGAGTTCTCCTCCATAGATGCTCCTAGATTGAGTTCTCCTCCATAGATGCTCCTAGATTCCGACCCTACGCCATTCATCTCGTCAATATTCATCTCGTCAATATTGAGTTCTCCTCCATAGATGCTCCTAGATTCCGACCCCACGCCATCAATCATATAGCAATTAAGTTTTCTCTTTATCGGCACTCTTTGCAGTACATCTTACATTATCAATTTCGTCGCCACTCAAGCTCCATCAACGCTCAGACAAGCAGCTTTTACAATTCTGACTCTTCTTATCTAGATGCACAGTTCTCGATCCACTATGAGTTTGATTGGGTGTATATTACATCAACGAACAGCCTCCACCTCGCGTCCTCTGTCCACACCCTTAATGGACAGCCTCCACATCGCCGACTGCTACTACACCCACCGATGTTCTCCAATTCAACCATCTACGCAACTTCGCAACTAACAACTATTCCACTTAGTCATCCACACCTCCTACATATCCACCAACAACCTCACTTCCATTGCGAGATACACGTCCTATTGATGTCCCCTTCTATACATGTGCTAGCTTCTCCGGATGTGACTCCTCCTCGTCGCAACCTCCCAATAAGATTGCCATCTCCCCTGCTTGTTAAGTATCTAGAATGACAACAAAAGATGAATGAAGGACTAGAGGTTTTTTATCAGATTCATACTTCTGACCAAACTATTTGCATGTAGCCACCTCTTAGCGTTTCTGCTCCTCCAAGACATGTTTGTTGCTTTCATCAGCTATTTCTTATCTAAACTCTCGATTTTTGATCCACCATGAGTTTGCAAGAGGCTGTTAGAATCATACCTTTTCACTTGTATATCACAGCCCATTCTTTTCCCATGTATGCTGCCATTACCCAACCCCCCACTTACATGATCATAATTACCTACCAACTTGCATGCTCAAGTTGTATGATGAACTTGTATACTCAAATTGTATATATATTGGCCTCTTACCCCAACATAATCAAAAAGGTAGTTCTCTTCTCAATTTCAATTAACATGGCTAAATTAGGCACTTATATTTAAAAAAACAAGGGGAAAAATGCACCTACATCTACACTTATCATCTCAGGCCACATTCTCTAACATCATCGTCTCTTTTCAACCACTCAATTGTCGCTTCGGCTCTACCCAGCCTACTTTTTGCAAATGACTTAATATTGATATGTCACAATAGTTCATATTTAACTATAGCAATTTACTTTAGAAATAATTTCTACCTAGGTAACAATTAAACATCATTTTAAAAGTTTTATACTCTGATTTGGAAATAACTTCTAGCTAAGCAACTCTTAGGCACCTTCCTAAGCATATGACTGGTTGGCACAAGGAGTCTAGACAAGAGTTCCTGATGCATCTACCATTGCCAAACCTGTTGTCAGTATTTTTAACTTATGGCACCATCCCTCCTCACATCGCCAACCTTTCATTCCTGACGGAGCTCATCCTTTCCGACGATGGCCTGGTCGGACCCCTTCCTAAATCTCTGGCTCGGCTGCCACGACTACAATATCTCCAGCTTGATAGCAACCAGCTTTCAGGTTCCATACCCCTTGCCTTTTTCAACACGTCATCGCTCTCTGAGTTGATTCTCAGTAGCAACAACATTACAGGGACCCTTCCCCCTAACGATACTAGTTTTCGTCCACTGTTCCCTGAGTATTTGTATATCTTTCAAAACCATATGACTGGTTGGCACAAGAAGTCTAGACAAGGGTTCCTGATGCATCTACCATTGCCAAACCTATTGTCAATATTTTTAACTTATGGCACCATCCATCCTCACATCGCCAACCTTTCATTCCTGTTGGAGCTCATCCTTTCCGACAATGGCCTGGTCGGACCCCTTCCTGAATCTCTAGCTCGGCTGCCTCGACTACAATATCTCCAGCTTGATAGCAACCAGCTTTCAGGTTCAATACCCCTTGCCTTTTTCAACATGTCATCGCTCTCTGAGTTGATTCTCAGTAGCAACAACATTACAGGGACCCTGCCCCGTAACGATACTAGTTTTCGTCTACTGTTCCCTGAGTATTTGTATATCTTTCAAAACCAGCTCACTGGCAACATCCCGTCCAGCCTTTTCCTTGCTCCTACTCTTCGGGAGCTTAGCTTGGCTGGGAACCAGTTAAGTGAAGACATACCGTCCGGCAGTGTTATCAATGCGCGAGGGGCAATGTGGGGCGCAAAGCATCTTTACGCGCACATGTGTAAGGCGCAAAGCGATGCGCGCGCCCGAGTGATGCGAGGCGCACACCGCCCACATAATTTTTCAAAATATATAATCAAGCGTGAAAGAACATGTTTTTAAAATTCATATGAAAAATATCATGATAAATAATATCTTACTACAAAATGACAATATAATGCCTTACTAATGCTAACACCCAACATAGTAGCAAAATTCATAAATTTGCAAATCAAATGTTAAATCAAGACTAATATCCAAACAAAGGATTAGTAATGGTCCTCAATTGAAGGCTACTAAAAATGTCTAATGGATTTATTTTGCTTTTTAGGATATGGAATATCAAGTATAAAGACTCGATTGAAATGCTAACAAACAAAACTATATGAGGATATGTACTACATGCACCCTGCACAAAGTAAGGATGTACGCAAGGCGCAAAAGACACTGTTGCATCAGAAGTGGGGCGCTTCGCCACCGCCCCGCATCGTAAGGCGCATGAGGTGCAGTAAGGCGCGCGCCTTTGAAAACACTGCCGTCCGGGATTGGAAACATGAAGCATCTTACTCTCATGTAACTTGGAGGTAACAGTCTAACGGGCACATTACCATCCTATTTGGGCAACCTTACTAATCTAGTTAATCAACACTATTTCGGTACTATGTAACAATCTGCTTCCACATATTAATCTTTCACTCTTGTCTACATCAAAAATCAAACCAAATCTTAACAAATATAGATATTATATTTACTATTCGAGCAATGTCCATAAGTATATCATATCACTTAAAGAGAACAAAAAAATTACTGTGAAGATTTTGCTTAAAGTCTTTGTTGATGTGTTTTTTGTGGTTAAGTTTCGCTCATGGCGAGTGTACCTTATCCACTTTGTTATATACCCTGCATTTTGTGCATCCAAAAAAGATGTCGAACCTTTCATCTTTTGCTTATATAATAATTTCAAGCATTTCCATTAAACAACAAGCTCAAGTTTAAAACACTATCAAGATATGCAACAAGACAATATTTGCTTGAGTAATTATATATCAAGGTAACTCATAGTAAGAGGAACACGACATCCCACATAACACAACTTCAGCCAAACCCTCAAATTTAAGCTAATCTAAAAAACCAAAACCAGGTTGGTGTGCCAATGTTAGAACTAATATCTGTGCGTGTTACCTCTTCTGCTGTCCATTGCCCTTTAGTAGAGCGGCGTGTCGGGCCACTAATCCTCCTACAAGAAAAATCAAACACCTCACCATGTTAGATGTCTCCCAATACTAATCAGTGAAAGACCCCCAGCATGCATAATTTGGAAACAACAAAAAGGCATAGAAAATTATACGAACAACAAATTTACCCGCGTAATGGCCGCTGCCTCTGAAACTCCTCGCCACCGCCATCTTTGGTAGCAGAAGAAATAGCAGCAGCTTCAGCGACCCCCATCTTTGGTAGCAGAAGAAATAGCAGCAGCTTCAGCGCAGGCCGAAGATTCACCTCTCCCTGAAAACTTCCCCTTATCGCATAGCAGCAGCTTCAGCGCAGGCCGAAGATTCACCTCTCCCTGAAAACTTCCCCTTATCGCTTGCCATGAATTACCAACCAAGGAGTGAAGATCTTAGAATCAATCCCCACTCTAAAGCAGTACTCCACTGAGCAGGGTTTCCAAAGCATCATAAAGAAAAACCTAGAAAACTTTCAAAAGAGTACTCCACTGAAATCAACAACAAAGACTGTCCCAAAGAAAATCAAATAAAGAGATATTAATAATTCGCCCAAATTTTATCAAATTGGTGACGTAAACAGCTACAGATTCAAAAGAAAACGCCCTAAAACACCAATTTCAACAAAATCGGTGTTCAAGAAAACAAATCGGCAATGAGTTTGAGAACTGACCGTTGAGATTGAGAGGGATCTTGAAGGGAGCCGATCGGACATCGGCTATCGCTGTTAGATTTTCTGAATCTTGCTTCAAATTTGAAAAAGGGCACCCTTTTCTCTTTTCTCTTTTCTCTCTCTTTTTATTGTATTGTTATATATTTATTTATTTATTGTTATTATTACTAGTCTATTTGTTTCATTTGGGAACTTTGAAGGGACGATTTCAGCAGTTTCAAACCCTACAATAAAACGGCGAGCAACTCGCACGTGGATCGGACGGCTGATGGAGAGGATCTGGAATGTCGCAACGTGATCTGTGACGTCCGTTACGATTGGCGCTTGTCAATCGCTGTCCGCTTCAGCATTTTGAATCCTAACGGTAGTTCACCGGGTATAAGCGGTATCGTATACAGTAGATTGACCGGTTACGGGTTTGGATTGTGAGCGTTTGGTCCTACCCACAAAGAACTTGGACTCCCACCAGTTCATATTGTTAGCCAAACGTTATGATATATAATTGAGCTACTTTTCTTTTGATACACACGAGGGAACGCTCCCTTTGCATACTATCATGTTTTATTTATTTTTAGGCTAAATACCCATATTGGTATTTTAGTTCAACCTCATTTGCCAAGAAGGTATTTTAAATAAAAAAATCGACGTTAAGACATTTTAATTGATTAAAATTACCAATTAGGTCCTTTTTCTCGTCGGCGACCACTTTTCCGGCGAGAACTCGTCACGTGCGTGACACGTGATGACTTAATCTGTATAAATACCCATATTGGTATTTTAATTCAACTCAATTTGTCAAGAAGGTATTTTAAATAAAAAATCGGCGTTAAGACATTTTAATTGATTAAAATTACCAATTAGGTCTTTTTGCTTGTCGGCAACCACTTTTCCGGCAAGAACTGGTCACGTGCATTTTAATTCAACCGGTTTTCTGACGTGGTAGTGGCAGGAAGAATAAGAGTCGATGCATTTTAAAATCCCTCATTTCTAAAATTGGTAAAAAAATTAGCGAAAAATTCGTGGAGAAATTACCGTATAAATAGAACCTCTTTCTCTTGCATCGATCCATCATATGGCCGCGCGGGCGGCAATCTAGTCTGTAGTGATCTTCGTCTTCTCACTCTCTTCTCTCCGAATTCCCATGACGTTTTCTTCTAGAAGTTCCTGGAATCGGGGGTTTTGGCTGATTCTGTTAGCGGTAAAGGTAAGATAATTGAGTTGGATCTGAGATCTGGAGTGAATGCGTGGAAGTTTGATCTTTGTTTTGAAATTTTTAGGGTTCAGGTTGGTTCGTTTTGGACTTAAATTGTGATTAAGCCACATCATCAGCTAAAACCGAGCCACATCAGCAAACCGAGCCACATCATCAGCTAAAACACAGATTAAGTCATCACATGCCACACACGTGACGAGTTCTCACCGGAAGAGTGATCGCCGACGAGAAAAAAGACCTAATTGGTAATTTTAATCAATTAAAATACTTTAATGCCGATTTTTATTTAAAATACCTTCTTGGCAAATGAGGTTAAATTAAAATACCAATATGGATATTTATACAGATTAAGTCATCACGTGCCACGCACGTGACGAGTTCTCGCCGGAAAAGTGATCGCCGACGAGAAAAAAGGACCTAATTGGTAATTTTAAACAATTAAAATACCTTAACGCCGATTTTTTTATTTAAAATACCCTCTTGGCAAATGGGATTGAATTATAATACCAATATGGGTATTTAGCCTTTATTTTTATGGTGTTTTCATCAAAAATAAAATATCATACGTTTAAAAATCATGATGTTTTTTGAGCTAAATCATTCTCAAACCAAAAACACAATAATTATTTCAAAACACCTTTTAGGTGTTTTAAGTTTAGTGTTTTGATTTTGAGTTTGAGAATGTGTTAATATAATATCTAACATAATATATTAAATGTAATTAATATAGAGTTATTATCAACATGCTTATTATATTATATTATACTATAATATAATATACTATATTATAGTTAATCTAATATATTAGTAATATTTATTAAATAATATGAAAAATATAATAAATAATCTTATAACTATATTAATAACTATTAAATAATAGCTATTTAATATAGTATAACGTATATATAATAATAAAAATAATAATAAAATATAAATAAACTAATAAACAATAATAAAAAGATATGATAAAATAATAATATAATAATGATATAATAATATCCTATGCAATAGTATAATCGCTAATATTATTAACTTTTTAATAAATTAAAAGTTGTAAAAAATTAATAATTTAATTAAATTTATATAATAGTAGCATATTTAAATTATAATTATAATAATATATATTGTATAGTAAATGTATATAATATAATAAATATTATATATATTATATAATATAATTATTATTATAAATAATTTTTTATAATAAAATAATTTATTATTAAACCAAATGTAATGTTAATATTATTATAATTAATAATTTTATTTTTCATAATTATTAATATATATAAATACATTAATAAACTCTAACATATTAAAAACTCTAATATATTATATAATATTAAAATATTTATAATATATTAATTTATTAATAACATACTAGTAATAACATAATATTGACATTATTAATAATATTATATTATATGAATAATGGTATAATATTATATAAATCATAAAATAACATTATTATAATATATAACAATAACAAATTGATATTCCAAAATAATTAAATATATAATTATTTGAAAATGATATGTAATAATTATAATATAATATAACTCATTAAATTACAATATAATATTATAATACATTATATAATATGATATTACATTATAGCTAATACTTATAATTTATAATAATGTAAGCTAAATAGTATAATATTTTATTTATAATATATTTTATTATAATGAATATATAATATATTAATCGGCCAAATTAGTGTTGACAAAAAATACTTAACATGGTGTTTTGAAAATATTTTAAGGGAAAAACACAACACCTTAGTTACCTGAGCTCATATCAAGAGGAGGTCTGAGTTTGAGTCATTCATGGGGTCTAGAATTAATTGGTTAATTGTGAAGTTTCTCTACAATTAAGAATATGTAGGATCTCTGTCCGAGTTGAGCATGGGATTCTAACCCAAACATTTAAGTATGGTATTTGCACCTTCTAGCTACATGGGTGGCCCGCTGTAGGTAAAATTGGTCTCTTTACTTGAATGTGAAATTTACTTTTTTATAAACCCGGCCATAGGGTTGGCGCAGCGATGCAAGGCCTCCTTGCGCCCATGTTGGGGGACGATCCATAAAGGGCTAGTCCTGTGTTCGAATCTCCTAACAGATAAAAAAACCCTCGGGCTAACGCCAGCCACGAAGCACGGGTGAGGATTAGTCCCAACCATATTAAGAGGTGGGGATACCTCGTGAGAAAACCAAATAAACAATTCATTTCTATTTTTTAAATTCTGGGACTGCTTTCGTGTGTGCTTATTAATTTATTCTTTCATTTTGATAATTAAGGTGCATTTGATTAGGAATAGTTGAAATAGCAAATATACTATAGTCTGATGTTGTTTCAACTTTGCTGTAGAGTAATCTTTCGGCTAATTTATAAGACTTGCATGAGTGTAAGATCGTAAGAAATGAAATTTTACTTGGTTATGTGATTAGCAAATTTTCAACTACAACAAATCTTTTCATAATTCCCTCATGAACTTGTTGCTATGCATATGAATTGTTATTTCACAGCTTTGGTATTTATTATGTTGGGTATGCCTAGGTGTAATTGTACTAATGGACGTTGAGCAATAAAAGCTTACTTATGAAAAAAATTGAATGCAGAATGAATAATGCACATTTAGCAATAAATCAGACGCCAAAAGATTACAAGGTTTGTCATAACTGTTTGCGTCAAAAGTTGGTTTTGCTGTGGAATTCATTATATCTTCGGTCGATTACAACAAATTCAAAAGAGATAGTCTTTTTATAAGACTCCTTTTACACAACAAATAGAAAATTACAACAACCTTTTAGAAACAAACGCAGGATCGTTGTTTGGATCGCTGCTTGCGTGGGATCTTTGCCTGTGCCGGGAGCGCTTTGACTCGTGGACCACCAAATCACAGATTCTGATTGAATCGTGAGGGGTTTAATGATTCTGACTTCGTTTATCGAAGTGAGAACTTGAAACGATATCTTATCAAAGTAAGATAGTCGTTCTTCTTGAAATCAAGTCAAAGCTCAATTTCAAGGAGTTGCCGGAAGCTCAAGAACTCTGCTCTGTCTGCTCTGAAGTGCTCCAAATGATCAGCCCCTGTGACAAATGGCCTTCGGGGGGTATTTATAGCCCCTATGAACAGTTGGCGGAAAACAGGCTCGCGAGATAGCCTTTGCTGTCTCGGCTGTCGAGACAGTGTTTGCTGTCTCGACGGGCGAGACAGTGTTTGCTGTCTCGGCCCGCGAGACAGTAAATGCGAGACAGTAAAGACTGTCTCGCACGGCGAGACAGTAAAGGCTGTCTTTTCTTTGATTTTTTGGATGACTTCCTTTTGAGCTGTGTTTGGATATCTCTCAGCATTTTTTTTTGACGCCTACAGATACCCCCTCCAAAGTGTTCCAGACTTATTCTTTTATAGAGGAGTCTGAGACATTTTGGATAAGACATGTCTTATTTGCAATCCTTTCAATATTTGATTGAGTAGATCGTGTAGAAAAATGGCTCCAGCCCTTGATCTCTTCATCCATTAGTCTATTGAGTAGACCGTTGTTGAGACCTTGAATCGAAGCTGGTATTTCCAGACTGATGTTTATTTGTCTGTCGAAAGTTCGTCAGGTTATCCTTAAGAATGTCAAGAGTAATATTCTCCAGAAACTTCCTGTCGAATGTAGGAAAACAGTTTAGACTCATGTACCCATTGGAGTATTCGGGAAATAGTTTAACCTCATATACCCGTTGGGAGGTAATCAGGTTATTCTTAAGAATATTCTGAGTAATATTCTCCAGAAACTTCCTGTTGATGGTAGGGAAACAGTTTAGACTCGTGTACCTATTGGAGTAATATGGTCTCTTTTTTTTTGTTGGTAGAGATGAACCCGATGATGGAGAGGAAGAATTTTATATTCTATCTCCTGGTCTCTTTTTTATTGGTAGAGATGAACCCAGAATCGGAGA